ATTTGGAGATCATGATGGTGAAGGTTTTGTTGATATGATTGCTTTAAGGGAGTCTATCACAGATGCTATCTGTGGCTGCTGATCTACCAATTTTTTCTTTAAAAAGATTATAGGTTGATATTCATATGCATTTAGTTTTGTTTTTTTTAATATCTTGAGCTGACATTTGGTTCTTTTGTTTTTTTCATAGTTACACCAACATGATTTCTAGGATATCAATTACAGACAGAGATATTTTGTTTTATTGTGGACTACCATCTCCGTTGCTCACGTCACGTCAACATCATAGCTTTGGGAGACAGTTCTACGGTTGTGCTAAGGGTGTTTCAGCTCGTTGCGGTTTCTTCCGGTGGGCTGATAGTCCCACATATTACGCTGCCAGCAGTCATGTGAATCCAGTGTTTTTCAAGGTTGATAGTGCAGCTGAGGAGAGACGTACCCAGAGTTTGACATTAAATAGTTTAATATTTCTCATTGTAGTTGTACTTGTCTTTGTACTTTTTTTATTTCTTCTGGTACTCACGAGAGTGTGAGAATTGTATGTTATTTTTTGGAACTGATCTATGATGATTATATCTTTCTGCACTTGCTTCTGTACTATCAATAAGCTATTCTGAATAAGCTGCCCCAAACAATTTTATCAAACAGGGGCAGAAATGTCATTTAATCACCAATAAGCTATTCTAAATAAGCTGCCCCAAACAACAAACCATATTATTCTGATAATCTGCAGATTATCAGATTATCAGATTATCAGAATGATTTGCTTATCAACAGATTATAAATAATCAACAGCTTCGCCAAACAGACCCTAAGTTGTCTAAAATAGATTATGCACTTTATTTTATACCTAAAATAGATTGTAAGATTATCATTTAATGGAATGAAAGCATAGGGAAAAGGTATCGAGCCTATTCAGGATTCAACCTATTCACGAAAATTTTGAGAAACACGTAAAAAGAAACAAATAATTTAAAATAATAAAAAAATTATCACAATTAATATCATATAATTTGCAAATGTCAAGATACCTCAAACTTAAATGTTGTTTGCCTTCAAATAACTTCAAATTCTAGAATTTGATCTAGTAAAAGCCACAAGATAATGGGTGTCTATTAGTAACCAACTTCAATCTGAATTTTAAAGGAATTGCATATGTAGCTAGAACTTATATTTCTATTGAGTTACGCATACAAAGCTTTACCTTGAAACAATTAATTCTTCAAAAGCTGGCAAAATGATAATATTTACTTTAAGGTACTTAATTGATGCTTAGCTAATGCAATTGGACATTTTAACTATCAGAAGCTTAACGTTTTATTAATTCAAGTTCTTTAGTTATTAATCTATCAACACAAAAATTGAAGCATGTTAGAATCTTAATTAATTTTTAATTTCAAAAGCCCATCCTCAAGCTTCTCCTCAAAGGTTCTTCTATATTTTTTATATTTCTCTATCTTCTTCTTTTTCTGAACCTTAATTTAGATTTACTATTTTTCAATCTCTGAATTTTTTTTATACATTCCCTTTTTAGATTCATTATAGAGGATTACTATATTTGGATATATATGTTTCACATCCCTACTTGCAAAAAAAAAAAAAAATCATTGTTGAGTGTGTGTTACGTTGGTGTCTATCCTAAGAGCACTTTTGTCTTTTGTATGCCAAAGTACAATTTATTCTTTTATTATTATTATTGTGGGCTATAAATATGATTATTATGTTTAGGGTTAGGTTTATGTATGAAATTGGATTTTAAGTTTTAGTTTTAAAATTTGGGAGAGATTACCTCTCGAATTGTAGGAATTGGGACAGATCGCCTACCTCTTAAATTTTAGGTGCTCATTTTTGTATTCTTGTGAAGTTGTTTGAATTATTGAGGAAATATTATGTTTGCTCTAATTTCTGTTGAAAAAACATTTTGATTTTGACGTTGGATCTGAGAATTTAGGAAGAAAATAAACTGTTATGGTACATGTAGATCCATGGCCGTCGTAACAATATAGGACGATCCAGGACAATCCAATTCAGTTAGCAGAGAAAACCCACGAGAACGCAACATACAGTACTTGTGCGTTGCAATCCGACCTAGCTATAACGATAACGACGAGATCATGGATACTTGCGAAAGCCCATACAATTGTGGCATATAAGAGACCGACATGCCACACTTTACAGTGCGATTTGAGCTCCCTTCAATTCACGATGCAAACTCAAATAGAGCCTACTAGGAAGCAGCGTCTCGAGGCGCAGTAGAGTGGCGAGTTCAGCGTAGGGAAGGCAACGACAAGATCGTGTCTGTCAAAAGTAGCGACTGACATGATTGATGGCATAATTGTGGTTTACAAAGAACCAAAACTCCCATTTTTCTTTTCCTCCCTCGCCGTCTACATGATATAGTCACGATCGTAGCCATCTGGGAAGGCAGTGACTGGGATGCGGCTTATAGAGATCTAAAACTTCATCTTTCGCTTCTTCCCATGTCGTCTTCTTGTACAATCGCGATCAGAATTAGCGGGGAAGACTGCGCCGACATTGAGCATGCCTTAATCGTGATTCTAGAAGTCAACGATCAGATCCGGGATCAAGCGAGCCCTAGCGACAGGAAATAATGACGACAAAGAAAATAAACGATTTGGAGAAGAAATTAGAGGAATAATTGGGGCAACTTAAATTCGGGATAGAGGAAAGATATTCCGCCATTAACAACCAATTCGAGAGCTTGGAGAAAATGCTAATGAAGCTTGTTGAGATGCAATCCAAAACTCTGTCGGCAGTTCAGTTTGTAAAACTTACGCAATGGTTGACCAGAGATTCATTGGCTAAATTGAATGGAATAGAGATTGGATGAGAGTAATATGAAGAGGAAAGCATCCACCTTCAAGAACATCCTTTTTGGGCTCCTATTGGGGGTGAATTAGATATTTCTGATGGAGGCGGTTGAGCCGAAACATGAATAATAGATAATGCAAGAGGTAGGGTGGAGCATGAAGAAGAAATGAGAGAAGTAGAGAGGGAATATGACAATGATCGAAGGAGAGAGTTTTACACTCGATATATGGGGGAAGTAACAGATGCAGAGGATGTTGGGCTGGAGATGTTATGGTTAGGAAGTTGAAGATGTCGATCTTTGAAAGGGAAGATGCATATGGGTGGATGTATCGGGTGGAGCGATATTTCATGGTGAGTGGATTAGATGGAGAGGAGAAACTCGTGGCGACAGGTTTATGTTTGGAGAGGAAAGCCTTAGTCTGGTTTCAATAGAGGAATGCTAGATTTTTGATTCATTCGTGGGAGGAATTTAAGGATTGTTTGTTGGAATATTTCTAAGCTATTTGAGAATGAGACCTACACGAGCAATTTTATGTCTTAACTCAGGAGGGGATTGTCATCGAATATAGAAAAAGAAATTCGAGCTATCCTAAGGACTTTTGAGGGGGATTTATGAAGCGGGATTAGAGAGGAATTTCATGAGGGCTTAGTGCCTGATATACGGGCATCACTCTGATTATTGAAACCACCGAAATTTATGGGGACGATGGAGCTAGCTCAGATGGTGGCGGATAAGAATCAGAGGAAGAAGGCCAACAAGAGTAGCACAGATGGAGCGTCGTACCGAACTGCTGGAACCACGATTTTACCAAATACTCAAACACTGGAAGTCCAAAGGGAGGATGTACGAGGCAGGAATAATGAGTTACCACCAGGAGCGACACTCAAACGCCTTACAGAGATAAATTCTGGAGAAGCAAGCCAAGAGTTTATGTTTTTAGTGTGATGAAAAGTTTACCTCAGGACACCGTTGCAAGGATAAGTCCATAGTTGGGAGTATTGTTACGCGGTGCCTAGAAGGGAAATTTTGTCTTATGTACTTCGAAGGGCAATCTAAATTGTTATTATTATTATTATTATAGGGTATAAATAAGCTTTTTATGCTTAAGGTTAGGTTTATGCATGAGATTGGATTGCGAGTTTTAGGTTTAGGGTTTGTGAGAGATTTCCTACCTCCTGAATTGTAGGAGTTAGGAGAGATCGCTTCTCTTGAATTGTAGGTGATTATCTTTGTATTCTTGTTGAGTTTGAATCATTGAGGAAATATTGTGTTTGCCCTGATTTCTGTGGAAAAACGTGTTGATTTTGACGTCAAATCATATCAGTGGGTCTAAAAGTAAATACCGGCCTCGCACACGTATAATTCTTGGGTTTCAAATTCACGTGAAACCCAAATGATATGAGCTTAATCTCTAGGCAATTTCTATGTTGTAGACGTGTCGACATGTTTCTTTTTTTGAACCAACATCATTTATATGACTTAGACAATAGTCGAGATTTAATCTGACTCATGCAACACCACACTCAATATTTATTTTTGATGTTATATTTGCTCATATTATATCGTGAACTTATATTGAGGTCAACAAATATCTTTAGTATCAATCATATCATTGTATACTTAATTGTTTGATTGCTTCTATGTTTTGGTTTTGACAACGTAGATTATCTTGATTCACATTTACACACATTGAAGTTCGACTGTGTAATTCATTGTGCTATTCACAGCTATCTTAATTGACGAAGTTCACAATGATAAAATCTATTTGATTGGACTGTGAAACGTCTCTCCCTTTCTCTAGCTTACAGCATTCATTTCCTTTTGGAACATTTACGTACATAACACACAATTCTATTGTGTAATATATCTCACCCCTAAACTTCCATATTTACACATAGCACTCAAATATTTAATAGAATATCAAAATAGCACTGTCACCACATTTTAAAAGTGAAATACACCTTTTCATGCATAGGTTTAAAGCACAAAAGTGCTAGGCATGTAAATATGAAAGCTTAGGTGGGAGATATATAGATACATAAGAAATTTGTGCTACGTGTGTAAATTTCCCTTCCTTTCTTGCATTTTCTTGAGCTAATAAAATTTAATTTAGTTATGGGCTTGTTTTTGATTGAAGACCTTCATATATCTTTTTTATGAATTCCAGCAAAATAAACAAATTCTGATCGATGCTGTCGTTCATGCTGTAAATGAGGACTATGTTGAGATGGCAAATGACTTCACCAGGCTTGGTTTCCTCGCTAGTGGAACAGATGTTTCTCCTATTATTCCCGCATTAGAAGCGATCTGGCAAAATTCAGTTGGAAAAGGATTGGCTGATTTTAATTTTCGCAGTGTTACTGGTAATTCTAGTTTATTTCTTCCATACTCCTTGTCTGAACAACTGTTTGAGAAATTTCAGCATGACTACTAATTGTTGTTTCAAAATTCTTGGTTATAAGACTAGAAAATTGCAATATTATTTGAAGATAAAGTTGGGCTAAACAAATCAAATCTGTACTGAAGAATCTGAATGAAAGTTTGCTCCATAATGAGTTTTGTCTTCTAAAACTCACTTACCTGTAGATGTGCTATGCTTTTCCCACCTATATGATTTTTTAGGATTAAGGAAAGATTGAGTGATGTAAAAATTTGATGCAGAGACGGAATAGGCTGATCATGTTGATTATTAAGCTCACTAAAGTTTAAATTCCTTTTGCGAGTCTCTTGCAGGTTTAATGTTCTTTTAATTGTGGTGAGTAGCTTTTGTATTTTGCAGGAAAGTTCAATCAGCTTGTGTATCAGTACCCTATCCGCATCCCAGAGAGGTTTTCCCTTGTTATTCGGTCTCTACTAACCCAGGAAGGAATATGTTTCACTTTGCAGCCAGATTTTAAATTTCTTGAGGTAAATAATTGTCAGCAAAGTTTTTTTTTAGACTATTAAATGAAATATTAAGGGCTTGTTTGGGATCAATTTTATTTTTGTTTTTTCTTTTATTTCAATAATCTATTTTTTTGGTGTATTTTTTACATGTTTTTTATATTTTTATTTCTAAAATTATATTAATATGTTTTTAAAAACACTTAAAAATTTTTAGACGTTTTGAGTGTTTTTTAAAACCAACCGAACATTAATCAAATAGCTAATTTTTCTCAAATAGTCAAACATGTTTTGTTTCGAATCAAAACATTAAAAAAAAAACAAAAATAAAAGTGATGTCAAGATTAAGTTGTTAGCATCGAACCTTTATGCTTCAACATTTGTTTCAATTTTATGTGTTATGTATTGAATCTTAGTCGATATTATTCTTTTAGAATAAGCTTTTTAATCCACATTCACCATTCATTCTTGTCAAGTGTCTGTATTTGGTGTAATTTCTTGTTAATTTGCCTTTAAGTCTACAATATGTATTTTCACCCTCCCTCCGGGATCATTATTATATCTGTCCCTTTTTATTGTCACAGTTTACTATTCTGTACGTACCCATCCCGTCTTATAGATCAATGAAAGCTTAGAATCCATGACCACCAACCTCCCTAGTTTATAGATAATCTTTTAGCAGTAATATTCTATTTGACAAATCTATTAATTTTCTTGTATTTCTCTATTAAACGACAAGTTCTACAGGTTGCATATCCATATGTGGCAAAACGTCTTCTAACAGATCCAAATCCTGCTCTTCGTGAACGCCTCATACAGGTTTAGTACATGCTATTATATTTTGCTTTATTTTAGCTTTTTTATGGTGATTTGAACTCTTTATTCTTTTTTTTTTTAAATAAGTGATCCAAACTTTTTTCCTTAAAGGAATATGTTTTTGGAGATTTTGTGTTTATGTTTCCATTCTTTATATTTGGCACCAGAAAGTAATGCATATTTTATGGATACCGAGTGATTTGCTATAGACCCCAGGTTCACGCTCTAGAAATATATATGCTAGTATGTGTTCATATAGCTTTCACTGTAACTACTAAATTTTAGCCAAAGCTAAGTAGGAGTTTAATCTTTTAAAATATGGATGATCCCTTGGTACCTTTATTTTAGTTTTGTGATGAAATTGTTTCCAATCTTGAGATTAACACTTACCGTTTGTTAGTTGAAAAGCACAGAAAACCCTTGAGAGTAGAAATAAAAAAAATTGAGGAAATGACTAATAAGGGCTTGTGGTTGAATAGAATAGAAAAAAAAATGGTGCATGAATTAGGCTAGTGAATATGTTGAATTTATGGAAAAATACTAAATCGCAAAATTACTAAATTGCTAAACTATATAAAAATAAATAAATAAAGTTTACTCTTTGGATAGAGAAATTGCAAATTTCATGGGGGCCATTGCCCTCCTTGGACATAACCTGGTTCCACCCGAGTAAGATTCAAGAGTAGTGATTCTTAGGAAAGTTCCACTTGTTTAGAATGGATTGGAATTAAAAAGCTTTCATTTGAGGGAAAATGATGGTTTATATTGAGGACTTTTATATGAGGAGATTATTGAGATGCATTTGAGAGTGGGGTGATGGTTACTTTCCTGATATATTAGTCATGATCTTTATTGATTGATTTAAACTGTTGGGTTCATGGATATTGATCCAATAGTACCTTGGCTTAATCAGACCCGCCCCCCCCCCAATATTCCACCCCCTAACAAAACAACATTTGATTTAGTTTAAGCAATCATTTTATTGAAGGATTATTGGTGATTTTATTTCAAATGTATTGCTAAGTTGAATTTTTGTTGAGGCTGATGTTACTAATAAGAGAGTGAGGATTACTTATTTTTCTTAATTTAATTAGAATGAGAAACTAAAGAAACATGATAAGTTAAACACCAAGTTCTTTGTTGTTCTGAGCTAGTAGATTACATCATAAGAGAATGATAATCTACATTGAATCGAAGTTGAATCGAAGTAGCAAAATATGCTACTCCAAGACTGAGCTAGTTAAAAATTATGAAAGGAAGTACTGTGAATAATCATCTAATTGGTTACCTTTAACAAAACTCTAATTTTAAGCATTAGCCTCATTTTTTTAAGTTTCATGGATCTCACCTCTAGTTTTTTTTGGAATAGGGAAACTAGTGGCTGCTCTAATCGTTCTTCAAAAAGATGGTTCAAGTTTCATGTTAGAAATGTATGCCTAGGATTCTAAGATTTGATTAAAACTGATTTTCAACAGCACTTTAGATGTACTGTGAAACTTAGCTAGTAACTTTTCTAGACGTATTGTTAGACATGGATGAGAATGTCATTTTGTGATTATTTTAATTCATTTTTATTCCCTGTTATTGAGGTATTTTGCCTATGTGTGATGAGATTTATTAGTTAAAAAAGTTTTGTGATTGATACTGTTCGTCTTTTTTGATTATTTGGCTGTTGAAAATGTACTATGTTTCAGCAGCTGTTCAACAATGTCATCGTTACGATTTCACTCTTTATTTTACTTGGGTGTAATTGGCTTATTGTATACAGGTATTATTTAAAGATGGAATGTTCCAATGGAAAAGGCTTGAAAATCTGATATCCTTGGCAAAGGAAAATGTGGCTAAGATGAATCGAAACCCTGCGTTGCAAGCTAAAAACATGTTTGTGAATGATTTGCTTAAATCACCTTTCCCGTCAATTTATCTGATGTACTTAAAACGATTGCTTAGACTAACCTCTCTTCCAGGCAAAGGTCAAAGACTTCACAATTCCAAAAAAAGTTGGATCTCACAGACACAATCAAAGATGGAGCTAAGATGTTTCTAATAGATGCAGGGATTCGACGGCAGCTTATTTTAGCCCTCACAGAAGATTCCAAGCTTCATATTCAAGAGGTGCGCAGTATATTGATGAAAGTAACCTCCAACTGTGATGTTGTTCCCGGAATGCATAGAAGATATTATTATATCTTGAGCATTCTGAGAACATATGTTCACTGTTCACAAAAAATTTTAAAATAGAAAAAGTATAACGATTTTGGTGGTGACTAATGGTGAACTTTTGATTTAAAAATCCTTTTGACATCATCTGATATCACTTGGCGCCTGAGCAGGTTGCTAATGCTTGATATTATCTTTGGTGCCTTGGATTAGTTAAGCAATCATATTTGAAAATGCATGTTTCTTGACCTGGTGAGAGGTATTGGCTACCATCTTTGTGAATACATGTGACAGGGTGGTTAAAGATATTAGTCTTTTTTTTTTAATTTGCAGGCTTCGAAAATTTGCACCCTGACCTCTCAATATGATAAGAATTTTTTGTATGTTTCATGCTAAATTTTCAGAAGCTAGATTAGATTACGGATAAGTTATTACATAGAGATTTTACCCTCATTTTGTGAAGACTTTAAAAATCTCAGATAAGGTTTCTTATAGACGCAATCTCATATGTTTAATTATCTGTCAATAATGGGAGAGTAGAGAGTACTTTTTGGTTAAAGTTAGAGAGTACTTTCGATTAAGGTTATTCGTTAGTATGCTAATTTTTCAGCATATAATAGCAACAACTAGGGTTTTAGATTATAAAAATTTGTTATTGTGAGTTTAAAAACCAGATGATAGGGAAAATGATGATGAACTCAATCAAGCTTCCATAATTTCGCCATTCCAATTTGTTGTGGTCTCTAGTTTATTTAGTTGGTGGATATTGAATTTGACATCAACTTTTCATTCAAAATTAAACATTGGCTCAGCAGGTTGCCTCTCTATCATGTTCCACACTATTCAACCATTATTGCTTAATTCAATTCTATTTTGTCTTGATTCAAAAATTTATAATGATATCAATGCGCATGATCTTGAGAAGTCCTTACATATCTTGCACATTATTCGAGTTTTATATGTATAATTCGACTTCATCTTCATTACTCTGCATTCAATCAAAGGAGTTCTATCTTGGTACCATATTATGGTATTTCAATTCCGCAAGTTTTGATTTCAATTTTCTTTGCTTTCTACATTTTTTATCATGACACTGATGCAATCAAGAGAAGTGAATTGTCCAAGTTGCAAAGCTTATTTGAAGATGAAAAAAATACAAGGGCATGCTTATTAATTTCGAACATTGTAGATATTCACTACGAAGTGATCATTATTATTTTATTCTCTAGCTTCATAAAGGTCATCATTATTTTTTTTGGAAAAAAATATTTTGGATGTCACTTAGATCTATATAAGGATGATTCAACAAAATATTCCTTATAATTTCTTGATGACAATTTGTAGGAATCATTCACAAATTAATGTCTTGACTTCCCATGATTCAAACATTTGTGTCACTTTCATAAGTTAATAAAATCTTTAGCCTAATCCAACTTAATGTATGAAGATTATTATTATAGTCATCCAAAATTTGAAGGTAAATTATCCGAAGTATGATGATGATGATAAACTTAAGATTTACAAAAATACAACATCTAACACCTGAACTTGAATTTTTACATATATGCCACCTTGCCTATGCATGAAAAAAGTGAAATAAAAAAGTGTATTTTACTTTTTTAAAAATTGATATAGTGGTATTTTTTATGTGATATGAATGATTTGGGTTGTATAAATGTAAAATGCAAAGTTTAGGTGTTATTTGTGTGATATGTATGTGTATGTAAATGCCCCTAGACTCAAATTGTGTTTGATCCAAAACTAAAATAGGAGATTATGCTTGAGACCAATGATGTGCATGACTTTATGAAACCTACTGATACTGTGATTGCCTCTACCTTCGACGTGGTTTCGTTGGTCGTTCCCCATCTTCTTTCATTATTGCCCATTTTATCACAAATTTCTTCCACTGTTTCTACTATCAAATTGTCAAAAAGTGCTCTTCAATTCCCTATGTTATTGTTTCCTTTTTTATTTGTATAGATTCACTTAATATTGCCGCAATTGTTTTAGTCATACTATTTTGTGATTCTTCTTATCCTAGTGATCTAATTCATGATGTATATTTGCATTCATCTCCAAGGCCTCTAAATCCTCAATTAGGTGATTGTGCACTGATAGTTTTGTCGAATTATTTTGATTGCTTTCGGGCCACAACTAGTAGGTTACAATGTTCGTCTAACCTAATTATCTGGTATGTTGTTACCTTATTTGAAATCGTTATATTTGACATATTAGCACTTATCATGGTAGGAAAAGATTTGCCGATTATGAAGCATCCTTGATTTAGTATTTTATTTTACTTGGTTCATTTCTGTTCGTTCATCAGTTTTGATTTAATTAGACACCAAAAATATATTATTGATATTTTAACATTTACATTAATCTTACTGTATCATCTATTCTTTTGCCAGTAATGACATAACTTTCCTATACCTGTCATTTGAACTCATATATTCTTCTGTGGATCTTTGCTCAGCTTGTGGATGTATATAGATTGGTGGAAGATGATGTAGATATACGGTCCGTTGCTTTTGAGGTTCTACAAGGTATATTATTATTATTATTATCATTATTATTATTGCAAGAATTGTCGATATGATCCGTTGACTTTTTGCGGTGGGCAATTTTAATCCCAATTTATAAAAGTGTCAATTTAGTTCTCAGATTCTTTTAATATGAGTTGAAACAGTCCCAGTAAATATATTTTTAGCCACAATTAAAAGTCTATGAATTAAATTACTAAAATGCCCCCTTTAAATAGTCAGGGAACTTCTTTAATTATGTTTTTACTATTATTCTTATTTTTGAACTTTGAATGAATTTACTCATACACTGACGCAAACATCAGTATAGTGGATAAGAGGGCTGCATAGGCTTAGCACCCTGTCTCAAGTTCCAGGAAACCACCATTTATTTGCCTTTTCAAACTCTCCTTTTTCTTTTTTCACAGACCTCCCTTCATTTACCCGTGAGTTCTTGCTGTCTTGGAGTGACTCTGTGCTATCCAATCGTTGAAGAAGCTTATCAGGTGAAAACAAACAGCTTTTTTTTTCTTTTAATAAACTGAAATGTTGATTCTTCCATACCGTTTAATTATTTATTTATTTATTATATTTTTTTTGTGATGATGAGATCTGCTTTAAGAGATATAATAAGTGGAAGCTTTTGTTTGATATGTAAAGTTTTGTAAAGTATGAAGGATATGTTGAAGCCACTGACATGTAAAGTGCTTAGTTCTTAAACCATATCCATCATAATTGCATTTTGTTGCTCCTTTTCTTACTAAAGATTTGAGTTTAGTTTTAGTCATTAATTTTGTTAATTTGTCTTATGGCTTGGGTGGGCCCGCTGGCACGGTCGGATCCTATGTGGAATGGAGAAGAATAAACATTAGCCTCATTCTATTTACATACTTTAGTTTGGTTCTAAATTGTTATCATTCGTGCTGACTCGATATGATTTGATTTTAAGTTGAGGTTGAATTTTATTTTGTGCATTTCAGAATTATAAAAATATGAGAAATTTACGTACATAATGCATAATTCTTATGTATTTAAGTATGTAATGTCCACCGTTTGATGTTTATTGTTTAACGCTTTGGTGTTATAACCCTTCAAATAGACAATGGTGGTGTTTTTGATACGATCTTAAAAATTTGAATGATATTCATGTAAATATAGATGTTTAGGTCTTAGATATGTGAATGTATAAGAATGAGTGAAGTGCCAAAATAGTCCTCTACTATTTTACATTGGGTCATTTTAGGGTTCGTTTGAGGTAGAGGTGCGGTGGTGTTTTCAAAACACACCGCGATTTTGTTTGTTTGGGTAAACTGCGTTTTGATATCTTTTTCAAACATTTTCATTTTCAGACTGCTTAAATCAACGTTTTCACACCAGATCTAACTAGGTGCTGTGGCATTTTTCTAGTTGTAGTCTGACATAAAAAAAATTATAATAGTCACCACAGTTTATTAAATAATATATTATTTTTCCGCAGTTTCACTGTTGTTTTTTAATAAACTGCAGTTGTCTCAAACAGAAGTCTCTGAATTTAAAAAGTGTGAAAATAATTTATGAATTTTTAAATTAGGGCTGAAATAGTTCTCTTTGAGGATTATTAGAACTATATTTTAAAATAATTATGAATTGTTTTGATATAGAAGAATTAAAATGGCTTCATATAAATAATCATAAATTATTTTGGCACATTAAGAATAGTTCTCTTTGAGGATTATTAAAACTATATTTTAAAATAATTATGGATTGTTTTGATATAGGAGAATTAAAACGGCCTCATATAAATAATCATAAATTATTTTGGCACATTAATAATAAATAAGAAATGTGTCCTGTGAATGTAAATGTCCCCTATATATTGATTTTCCAAGTAATTTCACGTGCATTTGCTTTCTAATGATAGTGATTGTCATTTTCATGTGTCATCAGCTTAATATCATGACGTGTCATTCTAGATAAGACTGATGTGATTTTTAGAGCTTTAGACTTGTTGCTTATTTTGACTGTCCACGTTGTAATAAAAGTAGGTGTTTGGTCATGGATCATCCTCTTGATTTGTCCCCATTTGCGTTGGATTCCACTTGCAATAGGGGCTTTCGGCTTTCATGAGATTCTCTTGCCCCTCCTACGTCATATTTCTCTCCCTTTCCTAAAGAGATTTGTTGCATGTAAAAAATATTTTAATTTTTTTATTGGATGTAGATTAAAGTTATTTCGACAAATTTACATACACACCGCACAATTCTTATGTATTTATGTATGTAAACCCTAAAGTTTGATATTTATATCTATAAAACTATGATGTTATAAACATATTGAATGGAACTATGTCCAAGGTGAATGCAAAGGCATGATCATGTGATCTCTTGAGCGTGTGAGATTGTGTTGGGAGCAAAATTTTCATCCTTTGAGGAATTTAGCGGGACATATATCACCTATCGTGTTGGGAGCAAAAATATCGTTTTCATGTCGTGTTCTTTGATAATTTCGGCTTGGACAACAATTAGGACGACATTTTCCCTCTCCAATTCTTTATTCTTTCTGCAATCCTTAGTTATTAGCATCCCGCCGCTTCCCCAATCAACATCTTAGTCGTTTGACACATTCTATGAATTCTAGATCAGTGTCATTTGATATTTTGGATTTAATCTAATTCTAATAGGAAAAAATTAATATGTAAGTTTGATGGTACATGCATCAACAATCTCCTCTCATTTAGGAGCTATTATTCGGTCTGAAAAGTTAAATTGGGGCTCGCTGACATACACCTTTTAGCAGGGGAGTGTTTTGATTGGTTCACCATATCACATGTAATAATTTTTACTCACTTAGAAAGTTTAGAATGCTTCACATCACATCTAAAATGAAATAACAAATGTGTTTCTTGCATATTGATGCAATGAATAAATATTTATTGATTAATTAATGAGGCTTAATTCAAGTCTAATATTTAATCCTACTAAGAAAATGAAGTTAATAAATTTCATGAATTCATTACTATAACGTATGGGTGATGTGCGCCCATCACAGATCAATAAAAACGTGCTTAATATAATGAATAAAACGATCACCATTTTTTAAGGAATTTTAGAAGGGGCATTTACATACAGGCCACCCGAAACTTGCTATTTACAAATCATGAAGAGTTAATTTATAAACATCAATATTTTGGATGATTTATATATAATTATCTCTTTTATAAAAATAACTATTACTTATCAGAAGAGCATCTTAAGAGCCCAGAGACTTTATAGTTTAATTAACTTCATGTCTTAGGGTTTGTTTGGAGCAGCTGCAGCTTATTCAACTTATCCCAGCTTATCCGGATAAGCTGTCTGTGTTTGATTAGTGTGTTTTGCAAACAACTGATTCTGGATAAATGACCAATCTGCTCATGTTCTTGATAAGTTATTTAACTGTTTGGTTCGTGCATTTTGTAAACAAAAATAAATCTTGATTAGTTTTTAGTAATATCCTTTGGAAGCTACAACTAATCCAAATCTTAATTAAGGTCAAGCTTAATTAATTAAAATTGAAAAAAAAAAGAGTGGAAGGGAGTCAATAACACGTGCCACCAGCCTCTTAATCCCACGTGGTTCTCCAGCCTCTTAATCCCACTCCCACGTGGTTCATTTCATTAGATCCACATGCTTTATTGGATTCCATGCAAAAAATAAAATAAAATAAAATAAAATAAAATGCATGGAATTTTCAGTCACTAGATGATAGGCTAAAAGGAATATTTATATGTGGTAATGTTGAAGAATTTAGAATTTTGAAAAAATTCTTAAGAAAATAGTGGAGGTCACTTTCTTTTTTTTTTCATTTATTTTCTTAGAAGGCTTTTAGATTGAGTGATGTAATACAATATAAGATATTACATCATAATTATGTGAATATATATATATATATATAAAGGGAATATGTTTATTTATATGAATTGTTATCAAGAAATTTGATTTTACATGACTTGAAATGCACATAGTAGTTCAAATATCCTTTTTTTTTTTTTTTGAGAAATATTTATGATTTTCTTATATATAAATAATTTCTTGGATTTGTGTGATATTTGTTAGGCTGCCGTTTATTCTAAATTTTCTTGAATAAGATTGAACTTTAAGTTGTTGAACATTATTTGAACTGAAGGGTTTGTGGGAAGTTTGACTAGTGGCTTGTAACGGTCTTTCGAGTGATAGTTCCATAGGCGAAACAATCTATGTGACTTGAAGCATTCAAAGGAGAAGATGAGTTCTTTCCAGAGCTCATTGGGTGCAATAATGGATAGGATTAGCAATGTTCGATGAAGAAGAATAGTTTGTGTGAGCATTTGTTTTGGGCAACAGTCAGCATAATTTGCCATTCAAAGAAGAATATGATGTCATGAGGGACCTTAATAGGGGCATCAATGATGGAAAAGGAGTAGTTCAATTGGGAGCTTGTTGGGGGTAGTAATTGAAGGAATTGATATATTTACATGGAGAAGAGAAATTTGTTCGAGAGCCTCTTAAGGGCATGCATTGACAAGGAGCAATAACGTGTACAAAGAAGAGTTCATAATGGGAGTTCCTTAAAGGCAATTATCGATGAGATTGATGGCTTATGAAGGAGCAGAGAAGACCATGAAAAATTCAAACTTAAATGTAGACAAATATCAAATGACTATAAATCCAATGATAATCAATGAATATCATAAAGTTAAATCAAATTTTGGACACTTTCACCCCCAAAATATTGTTTGTTGGCGTCAATTTTTGATGTCACATGTGCGAGGTGTACACTAAACTTGCTCGGGATGATTCACGGCTCATTCATAGCATCCCGCGGCTTAAGCCATCCATCCAAGACCTCTAGTACGTATTTGGGACACGAAATCATGGCGTGACAATTTTTCCTTATTCGGGAGAGCCCGCAGTTGTAAGGACTCACCCTGGACTTTGGACATGTTTGATGTCCGCTCTTTTGTTTAGACGTCCCTTTGTATCCATTCGAGCCTCCCAGATGTCAAGAGACGTCACAGTCCAAAGCAGCAACCTTCAGTCTTGTTCAAATGGCAACACATCCTCGCCTTCAATAACTCACCCAATTCTTATGCATTTACTTATCTCACATCCAAGCATTGATTTTTACATCCAAAGAACCCTGCCTATGGAAAAAGTGTAATCCACTTTTTCATACGTCTTTTAAAACATAGGAAAAAGTATTTAGCTTGTAAAAATCAAAGTTTGGGTGTAAGATAAGTAAATGCATAAGCATTGGCAGGCGTGAGCATTCAGTCGATTCGGCTTTTTCGTTTTTCAAATAGGGTAAATTAATTTCAACCAAAATCCAAAGTATTGAACCAAACAAAATTTTGATAAAATCAAAGTTTAATTCAGTTTAAATGGTTTGATTTCAGATAAACCGAAATATAATTTAAAAGTATAAGACTATCATGATAAGTAGAGGAAAAAAAATTGTTTAGAGACCATCATAATATAAATATAATTATATTTAATTTTTAAAATATAATAAATACAATCATATCATATCATATTATCGAATATTAATGCTACTTTATAAAATCAATGGTGGGTATGAGGGCCAAATAAAAGAACAAATTGGCCCCCCAACTCTCACTCCCACTCCACTCCACTCCACTCCACTCCATCTCCTATATAAATCACCCACACCTGCAACCAAAATTCTCCCCCCCTCCTTCACTTCCTCCATCTTCACTGAACCCAAGACGAACCAGAACCAGAAACTCCATGGCGATCTCCATCTTTCTCTCACTATTCCTCTTCCTCATGTTCCCAGGTAAACGAAAAATGACATTTTTATTAAACAAACAGTCTCCCCTGTTTCTCTTTTCCCTAACTCCCCTGTTTCTTCAAACCAGAGCCCACAATTCCGGCGACATTATCCATAACCAACAATTGCCCCTTTCCAATCTGGCCTGGCCTTCTTTCTGGCGCCGGCACGTCTCCTCTCACCACCACCGGCTTCCTCCTCCCCTCCGGCGAATCTCGTCCCATCGACGTCCCGCCTTCCTGGTCCGGCCGCCTTTGGGGCCGCACACTCTGCTCCACCAACCCCTCCACCGGCCATTTCTCCTGCGCCACCGCTGACTGTAACTCTGGCACTGTATCTTGCTCCGGCAGTGGCGCAACCCCTCCGGCTACTCTTGCCGAGTTCACACTCAACGGAAGCGACGGAATGGATTTCTTCGATGTAAGTCTCGTCGACGGTTATAACCTCCCCCTTCTCGTCATCCCGGAAGGCGGTAGATGTGGGTCGACCGGCTGTCTTGTTGATGTTACTGAAGTGTGCCCGCCTGAGCTACTCGTAGTCGCCTCCGGCGAGGCGGTGGCTTGCCGGAGCGCCTGCGAGGCTTTCGGCTCGCCGGAGTATTGCTGTAGCGGTGAGTTCGGCGGGGCCCGGCGGTGGAGGGGGCCGTCGATTTATTCGCAGCTTTTCAAAAACGCTTGCCCCAGAGCTTATAGCTACGCTTATGATGATGCCACGTCGACGTTCACGTGTTCCGCCGGAACTGATTTTGCTGTAACTTTCTGTCCTAGTACCACCAGGTTAGTTATTTTATTATAATAATTTTGTAATTAATTATTTATTTAGGGTTATTACTGACCAAGCACCCAAAATATTTAATACAACATTTCAGGACTATCATCATTGTCTGTCACGTGTACAGTCTGGCTCACTTAATAACAAAAAAAAAAAAATTAATACGCGATGAGACTGGACTGTACATGTGTCAGACAGTTATTGTAGCACTGATAATTTTTTATATCAGGACTCTTGAAGTAATATTGTATATTTTGACTGAAAAATTTGAATTGTTAAAATTTTCTATTTAATTTCATTGAGATAGTTTGAAGTCTACCGGTTCGGGAAACAACCCACAAGCGGTGGGGCTGCCGTTGATTAACGACACAATGATGTTTCTCCAGGGAAGTTATTCGAAAGGCCAAGCGCCGGCGCCGTTGACGTTGGTGGTGCTCGGGGTCTTGTCAGCGGTTTGGTGGCTCTTATGATTTTGTTAATTCATTTTATTATTTTTCTTTTTTGGTTTAGGCATGTAATTATATTGATTTAAATAATATGAGTTTTAATATCTCTAATTTTTTTCAATTATTATTTTTTCTCCATGTGTGTTCTTTTGTATGTTGCCATAATAGCTCAACAAATTAACAAGATCTAAATAATGATAAATAGTTTTAAGGGATAATTATGTATATAGCACCCTGAAAATATTGTTATTTACAAAATCCAGCGCATAGTAATATTTTTGAACTATCGAACTGATGATTGAAATGCAAATATCATGGCAAGTGGTTATTGTAGAGAACTTGAGTGTGATGGCTATAATGTAAGTTATGTGGATGATAGTTGGTGTACAAGTCTCATAGACAATGGGTATGATACATATTCAATGAGGAATGATTATCTTTAAGATCTTATGGATGTGGGTTATGACATATGTCATCATTGATGCATATAATATAAATTTTCTTAGATAAATAAATTGACCTTCAAATTTAGAAGAACCTCTTCCAAACGCTTTGAATGATGATTTTCAACCCTAATCTTCAGTATTCTAAATAGTTATCATCAATAAATAGTGGAGATCACATCAACAAATGATTAAATCATGTAAATGTTGTAGCCTCTGATCTGATGTGATCGTCCTAACCAAATTTGTGCTATCTTCAATAGTTTATAACAATGTAATGAGAATGGTATGATAAAAATTGCTGCTAGGGATGTCTTTATTCAATGATTTAAATATATGGCCTTATCGATAATAACATCACGAGCATCTTGGTATTAGATAAAAGATTTGATAGTTAGATTGATGATTTCGATCATTTTGAAAATATTCAACATATTCTTATAAGACGGTAACAAAAGTAGCAATGATAGTCTAATATTTTGTTTCAAACATATCAAAAACTAGTGTACTATTAGATGTAATAGGCTAATAGTTCTAGAAGTCAACAAGATAATAAACATACAATGAGGTTGTTGAAGGCCACTAATTTGCTTCATGTGTTTTATGATGGTTAGAGGTCTAATCTGCTTGCACCTGACATTAACACTAAGAGCAGAGAGGCCATCATTGATCTAATCTGACATTAACACTAAGAGCAGAGAGGCCATCATTGCATCTATACTTCCTCTTATTATTATTATTATTATTATCATTATCCAAATTTTGTCTCTTATTATTATTATCATTATTATTATTATTATTATCGCATGCATTGCTTACCCCTAACTAATTTTCATGTTCATGATAATAAAAAATAATAGAAGTTTTCAAGGAAGGTTAAAATACCTTCCAATGCTTATCATTTCAACTATACTTTCTCTTATTATTATTATTATTATTATTATTATCCAAATTTTGTTCATGATAATAAAAAATAATAGAAGTTTTCAAGGAAGGTTAAAATACCTTCCAATGCTTATCATTTCAACTATACTTTCTCTTATTATTATTATTATTATTATCATTATCCAAATTTTGTTCATGATAATAAAAAATAATAGAAGTTTTCAAGGAAGGTTAAAATACCTTCCAATGCTTATCATTTCAACTATACTTTCTCTTATTATTATTATTATTATTATCATTATCCAAATTTTGTTCATGATAATAAAAAATAATAGAAGTTTTCAAGGAAGGTTAAAATACCTTCCAATGCTTATCATTTCAACTATACTTTCTCTTATTATTATTATTATTATTATCATTATCCAAATTTTGTTCATGATAATAAAAAATAATAGAAGTTTTCAAGGAAGGTTAAAATACCTTCCAATGCTTATCATTTCAACTATACTTTCTCTTATTATTATTATTATTATTATCATTATCCAAATTTTGTTCATGATAATAAAAAATAATAGAAGTTTTCAAGGAAGGTTAAAATACCTTCCAATGCTTATCATTTCAACTATACTTTCTCTTATTATTATTATTATTATTATCATTATCCAAATTTTGTTCATGATAATAAAAAATAATAGAAGTTTTCAAGGAAGGTTAAAATACCTTCCAATGCTTATCATTTCAACTATACTTTCTCTTATTATTATTATTATTATTATCATTATCCAAATTTTGTTCATGATAATAAAAAATAATAGAAGTTTTCAAGGAAGGTTAAAATACCTTCCAATGCTTATCATTTCAACTATACTTTCTCTTATTATTATTATTATTATTATCATTATCCAAATTTTGTTCATGATAATAAAAAATAATAGAAGTTTTCAAGGAAGGTTAAAATACCTTCCAATGCTTATCATTTCAACTATACTTTCTCTTATTATTATTATTATTATTATCATTATCCAAATTTTGTTCATGATAATAAAAAATAATAGAAGTTTTCAAGGAAGGTTAAAATACCTTCCAATGCTTATCATTTCAACTATACTTTCTCTTATTATTATTATTATTATTATCATTATCCAAATTTTGTTCATGATAATAAAAAATAATAGAAGTTTTCAAGGAAGGTTAAAATACCTTCCAATGCTTATCATTTCAACTATACTTTCTCTTATTATTATTATTATTATTATCATTATCCAAATTTTGTTCATGATAATAAAAAATAATAGAAGTTTTCAAGGAAGGTTAAAATACCTTCCAATGCTTATCATTTCAACTATACTTTCTCTTATTATTATTATTATTATTATCATTATCCAAATTTTGTTCATGATAATAAAAAATAATAGAAGTTTTCAAGGAAGGTTAAAATACCTTCCAATGCTTATCATTTCAACTATACTTTCTCTTATTATTATTATTATTATTATCATTATCCAAATTTTGTTCATGATAATAAAAAATAATAGAAGTTTTCAAGGAAGGTTAAAATACCTTCCAATGCTTATCATTTCAACTATACTTTCTCTTATTATTATTATTATTATTATCATTATCCAAATTTTGTTCATGATAATAAAAAATAATAGAAGTTTTCAAGGAAGGTTAAAATACCTTCCAATGCTTATCATTTCAACTATACTTTCTCTTATTATTATTATTATTATTATCATTATCCAAATTTTGTTCATGATAATAAAAAATAATAGAAGTTTTCAAGGAAGGTTAAAATACCTTCCAATGCTTATCATTTCAACTATACTTTCTCTTATTATTATTATTATTATTATCATTATCCAAATTCTGATTCGTTCAATAAGTAAATGAGACGAACGCGAACCAATTTTTGTTTCTTTCGATTAGTTAAACAAACCAAACATGAACAAAGATGCATTCGTTCGTATTCGAATTGTTATTGTTCGAAATATATAAAAATTTAAAATAATTATATATAAAAAATTTATGATATTTTAAAAAATTAAATTTTATAAATTAT